GGGGGGCCCGGGGTTCCCTGAGGGCCCCTGAGTGGAGGGGGGGTATGTGGGGCAGGGGGACACGCGGCCCTGCTCCCCCTTTGGACCCACCGGACCAGAAGATCCCTTCGGTCCTGGAAACCCTCCGGGACCCGTAAAACCTTGAGGCCCCCGAGTTCCTGGCAGTCCCATCAGACCTGAAGACCCCTGAATACCTACACACACACACACACACACACACACACACACACACACACACACACACACACACACACACACACACACACACACACAGTTTATGGAACTATATCACGGTCACATGACTTCACGATCGCTAAGCTAAAGGAGGCTAATTTTGGGTGTGATGATGTTTAGTCTTAACATTTAGACTCTTGTTATCAATCTCCATTTCTAAATCCACCAGTGGGGCATTACTGACGTATTTTATGTGGTAGAACAAAACTTTAAAACATCTTCAACTTGTGTCAACCACAGACTTTATTTCACGATAACAACCAAAAACACATTCAGAAAACCATTGACCTCCAGACCAGGGGACAGGAAGTGGTAAAATGCTGGACTGACCTTTGTCTCCTGGATTCCCACAGAGCCCTGACTGTCCTGGGGGCCCCTGAGATCCCTTTTGGCCCTTTGGCCCCGGGCAGCCTGTGTCCCCGTTCTCTCCGTCATCTCCAGGCACCGGAGTGTTCTCACCTGGTTCCCCAGTCTCACCAGCACATCCTAAAACATCAAGCAAAAGGTCAAAGGTCATCCAGTTGATTGACCTGTTAAACCCTGCAATGGAAATTGTCCAATAAAGTGCACATTAGTATTTGAGCTTATCTCCGAACGTTTTTATCTTTCAAAGTTGGTAAAGTTAAACGGTAATGTTGGTCAAACCATCATAATTATTCAGGTACTGAAGTTGTGTCATGCATTTAAAAAACTGCAATGCAATGCATTCATCAAATTCAAATGATTATTCACGTAACATAATGACATGGTGGAAAACTAGAATACTTGATTTAGCTGAATGCAATCCCCAGAAGTGAAACGCTAACATATGACTATACACGGACTACACAGCATGGTCACATGACTTCACCTCCTGCTGCAAAGAACTATCCTCTATTACAGGGTTAAACCTGAAGTCTGACCTGGCTCTCCATCTGTCCCGGCACACCCTGGTTCTCCTCGAGGCCCCGGGATCGGAGCTTTACAGTCCGGTCCAGATGTACCCTTAGGACCCAGCCCCCCTGGTGGTCCTACAACAACAACAACAACAACAACACATAGACCCTGTTACTGATAAGGAATGCAGTGGAGTTGTCCAAATATCAGTTCCTAGCGTCTTCTCCTCTACACTATCCCTCGACCTCTGAGTGAAAGGTCACGGGGTTAAGGGATAGTGGATAGGAGAATTCAAAAGGACTTAGGAGAAGAGACTGCGGTGCTTTGAGAATCCGACTGCTCTTTCACTATCCGACGTGTTTATGATGTTATACATGTGCGTCTGCTGCTGTGGGGAAACTATGGAAACTACAGTTTTCTATACAGAGGACTACAACATGGATGTTTAATAAGAACGAGGGACTCATCTAGAGACTCTGCACCGTGCTCTGATGCTGTTGCTTTATGAACAACAGAGAAACATATTCTTCATGACCAAAGCTGGAATTGAAATAAAAAAGGAAAGTGAAACTTCTGCTCGTGGCCCTCTCCCTCCGGTCCACATGTTTCCTAAGCTAAAGGAGGTTATAAAGGAAGTTCCAAAGCTCCTTTCCTATCACCTATTCGAACCACTCTTATCATGGCTGCCACTGAGGGACTTCCGGGTCCCACTCCGTTAGGAAGTGCTGGAGCCATGATAAGAGCTGTTCGAATTCTCTAGATGATAGGGAAGGAGCTTTGAAACTCACTTGCATATTGAACACAAAATAAATGGATCGACAGTAGATTGAAAGATATACGACTCGTATGGACATCGTTTCTTCGTCTGGAACACGCGTCTGAACAAAGTTCTCCCGTTCGCATCCCTCAGTGGCTTCAGTGTAGATTAGGTTAAAAAGTCACTACACTAAGCTAAATCCCTGCAGCTCACATCCAGACCCTGATGGGGATCATTCTGATACAGACCTTGGGCTCCTGGAGGGCCCCGGGGTCCTGGTGGGCCGGGCTGGGATGAACCATAGGGTCCCGGAGGACCTGTAGGACCTTTATCACCTGGAAGACCCTTGGATCCTGAAGGTCCTGGAACACCCAAACCTGAACAGAAAGACACACGATATCATTGAGATCACCAAGACCTCATAGCAGCTGAACTGAAACCAGTAGAAACGGTTATAATCCAGACCCTGTGTGTGTGTGTGTGTGTGTGTGTGTGTTTGAGTGATTTTGTGATTGTGTGTGAGAATGAGACAGGAGTAAGTGTGCTCTCATTGCGTTTTTTGTTTTTCATTTGTGCTGTTTCATGTGTCTTTGAGGTAAACAGATGTATGATCTTGACCCAGCTTGACCTCAATGTTTTGAATTGTTTGGAACTTCAAAGTCCTTTGATAATGTCTCTTTAGCAAACAGACATACACAGCGATAAATACACTCCTTGAAGTAAATAATAACACCTGGCTGCAAAGCCAAAGCTTCAAATATGTGAAGTTTGGCTGGATGGTCATTTCATTCCTGTGATACGCAACAAGCAGTAAGATGAAGAGGAGCTTCTCTGTGGGACAAGAGGTCTCATGCAGCCCGTAACTTCAGCTGCAGGACTCATCCTCTGAAACAGAAACACCCTGACAAGGATAATCTGGTGTGGATCTGCCTGTGCTTGAAAGGAGTCGGCACAACGAGTAGAGTGATGTTGTTATACTGCTTCATAAAACACTTATGGGCTAAGTTGGGAGAAGGCATTCAAGGCTTGTACATTTAACACTGCGGGCGACTCTTTGTTTCCGGCAATCTTTCTCTTACATTTTCCTAATACGTGTATACGGCTGTTATATTTCAAAAGATTGTTGGAACGTTCATCGGATTTGTTGTTACATTGCCAGTGGAACGTGACCTTTTTCTGCTTAGGTCCGAGGATTTGTTTTGTAAGTGACAACATTGAACACAAAGGGTTAAGAATTAGACGTTTTAATAACTGGTACCATTGGATAACTGCTATGTGAAGTATTTTGTTGAAAAAGGATGTGAGGTTGGCAGGCAACATATTGAAGGATCTGAAGTGTGATCAAAAAGGATGTCAGAATTGGACAGAAGATAGTTTCCAGGAAAGAAAAAAAGAGTGATTACTCTGACGTGTGTAATGACTTTATTGGTAGGTCGTGACATAAAATACATGTTTGTTGCCCCATCTTTTTGAATCATTCACTTTTGTTGTACTTCTGACTGTACGCATCATCAATGATGGGTGTGATTGGGTGGGGTAAAAAGTATGCTACGTTGCACCTGTTACCTACCCAAAAGTTACTGAACTGACACACCCTGGAGTACCTGCTTACAGTACATTAGACCCCATTTACATGCAAACGCATATGAAACGCAAACGAACTGAATACGATATCAAAAAAGTATTCCTTCCACACGAGACCGCTCGGGAGCGCTGGAGACGCTGTAGTACAAATGCTGGGCCTGTAAGTGGCGCTGTACTTCTGCCACAAAATACACCAAAAGCAGCGAAGAAGACCCCTGAGGCAGAGGCGGGTCTATGGCTTCATCGTTATCAGGAAATTATCGTATAAGG